TTTTTTCATATTTGGTTACTGTTTTTAATTTAAAACGTAACTGAACAATAATTATATTTACACGGGAAAAAGATTTTCGCATCAAATGCAGTAAGATTTTCAAAAAAAGATCTTTAAATTTGGATGTTTTTTAAAAACTGCTACTTTTTATTTTATTTTAAAGACGATTAACTTTCTTTTTTTTTTTCTCTTTTTTTTAAGGAAGGAATTAAATGATTTACATATGAATTTTAAAATATAATACAAACGTCATTAATTAGAAAAAAATATTCATTTTTTTTATGAAAAAGTAATTTATTAAAACAAAAACTGTAGATTTGAACATTTTTTAACTAAACAAATCGAATTTTAAAGAATAACCTTGCTTCGAAGTTCACTTATAAAAATTTATTTATTTAAAAAAAAATAAATAAATACTCTTTTTTTTTTTTTTTTTTTTTTTTCTTTCTCTTAGTCGGCATTGGCCTATTTTTTCCATTCTTTTTTTACAAACGAATTATGTATAAGCAGTAGTAACTATCAAATAAACCGTTTATAAACGAAACCCAAACCATTACCAATATTAGAAATTTTTTCGTTCACTGACTATTTAAAAAAAAAATAACGTACCACAACAAAAAAAGGCAATCTTTTTGTAAATTGTCTTCAAAATTAGCATCTTGTTTTAATTTTTACACCTGCAAATGAATAAGAACACTCCTTTTCTTAAGCGTACCCTAGAAAATGCACAAAAGTGGAGTCTTTTCGAGGCTACGGATGCACAGTTGAATATAAAATAGAAAGTTGATGTATTTTTTATTTGGTCGGAGGTGATAAATGATTTTATACGTATGCATTATACAATGTATTCTTAAAAATTTCTCAAACTCTAGATCGTTGTTTTACTTGATCCCGAATTAAATGCCAGCATACACACGGCGCGGCACGGCAAGTTAGAACAGTAGAGAGACATAGACACTCATTAATAAACGAAAAAGATAAACTATTATTTATTTAAAAACCATATTGTTAATGTCTATTTAATAATTTTTTCTGTCACCAATTTCAAGTATTTCATCTGTGAATAATATTTTGCCTCTTAAATATACTTAGCATTTCAAGAATTTTGATTGACAGGCTTGCTGTTTTTATTAAATCAAAATGCCTTTTTCGAGCATTATTTGAAGCACTTATGTCCATCCGTAGAAAAATTGTAGTTCTCGCTTGATCGAGGAGTTTCCCCTTTATTGACGATTTTAAAATATTTTTCCAAAATTTCAAATCACCCCTGGGAATACCGGCGTTAAATTATAAATATTAGATATAATTTTTGTTTATTAATACTATTTTCCATATTCTCATTTGTAAATAATATTTTATTTATTTATAAAATTACTGTCCTTTTTGAAATTCACAAACCTAGTGTGTAAATTAAGTAAATTATAAAATTATAACTTACATAATTTTCTTCTTTTTTTTTTTTTTGTAAATGACTTTTTTCAAGTTAAAAATTATATTGGTCAAAATCAGTCGTCTAAAAAAATATTTTAAAATTTTGTTGTCTTATTCCGGTCCTTGTTGATTTTTTATTTTTTACATTGTTTTTTAAATTCAAACTTTTATTAAAAACTTTTAGTTTTATATCAGCTGTTTGTTTTTTTTTTTTGTTTTTTCGCTCTCATTTCGAATGTTAGTTTGTGGTTTTTAAAGTGGTTTGTTTTTTTTTGGAATGCATTTTGAAAAATATCCCATATAAATTAACCCTTTTTACAAGTAAAAACTAAAAAACATAACATTTTTAAAAACGTAACCTAATTTTATTTGATATAGAGAAAATGATGAAGTCTAACAGTAAATTCAGAAACTGTTTTAGTTTTATTTATTTTGCTGAATCGTTATTTCAATAAAAATAATATCCCTGTTGCAATCATTGAAAAATAAAAGGAAAACTAAATCTAACAACTATCAACATTTACTGACCATATTGAGTCGGAACCTGACTACTGTATAAAATTTAAATGAAATTCTCGTATTTTCCAATCTCTACTATTCGTACATGAGAGAAACACGGTTGATTTCTTTTATAATCTTAGGGTTTTATTTACAAATGCACTAAATATATAGCCCCAGTATATTCTTGAATGTATTGAGGATAGGGAAACTTCCAAGAGCGGCCAAGGTTCGAACCTGAAGCAACGTTTTTACAGCGTTTATAAACCAACTAACGTTGTTCGTTTGAATGAAGTCATGGCATCCACCTTCTTCCTTTTTTTAAATGTTTTTGATTATTTTTAGTTCTCTTATGATTTCTGCTTCCCAAATAAACTCTTTCAAAGCATTTGTTTAGGAAATATAAATCCTGTCAGATAAAAAAGTTGTATTTTTTATTTTTCGATCACACATTTGAAATATGTGGGGTGGGGGTATTATTGAGTTTTTTTTGTTTTTTTTTTTTCCCTCCCCCCAATAACATACGTAACGTACGTCAGCTGGGATAAAAAATTTATTTTCGATCAAGCGTTTAAAATTCATTCAAGTTATGTGTTGATAAGACCCTAGAGAGACTGTTACTTTTTATTATTATTATTATTTTCGGTAAGGTTTTTGGGTAAAACTAAATACTAAAAGTTACTTGTGATCGTTGTTTGTTTGTTTGTTTTTTTTTTTTAGATTGTTTTTGACCCGGCAATTGAAAAAAAAATGAAGAGAAAAATACTGTACTGATGCTTACTCAATCGCATCTTTTGTTATTAATAAAATTAAAATGTGTCAACAAAATAAAATTAAAATGGAACTTAAAGCCTGAGAGTGAGAAGCGATATAAAATAATTTTACAAATTTACACATAAAAAAATAATCAATAATACTCAATATTTTCTTAATAACAAAGGTCCTTTCTATTTCTTCCTGTTGCCTGAATGCAAACTTTTGATTGTCTTTTTTAAACTCTTATTTGCTTTCAATATCATTAATAAATAAGCACATTAAGATTAAGAAGTACTGCAAAAGCCGATGGAATTGGTTTTATTGATTAATATGACAATAAAAGGAAAAATGTATTTGCATTTCTTTTTAAGTGGTAAATTAATTGGGCACATATTTTTCTCTCTAGAAATCTATTCATACTCTTTGGAAGAGTTAATTTAAGGGGGGGATGTGGGGTGGTGCGAGAAGTCCTTCATTGTAGACAGAAAAACTATTTCATAAATATTTTATTTGCTTCTCCACTACAGCAAAATACAAAACATTAAACAATGTTGCTTTAAATGTGGAGTTTCACACACTTTTGCATGTGGGAAATGGTAAAAAAAAAAAAATAATCCATTTCGGCCAGTATTTTACCACACCCATCAAAGCATTCTTCCACGTTTGTGCTGTGGTGAGGTGCTGCTTGAGAAATGGATCTTTAAGAAATATGCTTACTTATTGATATATTTTTTTTTTTTTTTTTTTTATACCAGTGTATCAGAAAGTTGTCTTAACTGAAAGTGATATAAAAATATTACACTCGAGTTAAGATAAGTAGTTTTCAATTAAAGGAAACTTATCCATTGTGTCCATGCTATAATTCCATGTACCAATAATTTTGCTGAAAATTCTGTTTTTTTTTTTTTAATTTTAAGCAAATTGATCATTGTTAAAATTCTTCTCAGAATCCAATCAGAAAATTAAAAAAAATAACATATAAATTAAAAAAACTAGAAAAGGGGAAATAAATTTATTTGGAGCTAAGAAAAATTGGAATATCATATAATTACTAAAATAAAATTTAAATCTAAAAAAATTAATAATAGCAATATTCACCTTACACTTTTAACCCCCATTTCTTTCTGCTGGCTAATTTTCAATCAGTTACTGTTAAAAATGTCAAATAACTATAACCAATTTAGTATGAGTAGAAACAGGATACTGCATATGTATGAGGAGATGCTGAAAAGTTCTTGGCTTGATCAAGAAGCTTCAACCTGATCTCAACCCCTATCAAAAATAAATAATCATGTTTGGATAGAATTTGGCAAAAAGGCTGAGACAAGAAATTTTCAACACCTCCTCATATAAAGAAAATTACGGAGGCACATATGTAATTTCATTTTGATGGATCCACACGCTAAAAAGATGTGACAAAAGCTGGGATGTATTTTGACAATCAATTTGGTATTAGCCAACAGAACATGTTCTGATTCTCAGTAAATGATGAAAATAAAACCTTTTTATTCAAATTTGTCTAAAGCAAGAACATGGAATGGCTAAAAGCAAAGAGTTGGAATAGAGAGAGTAAACACAGATAAAATTTATTTCTTATGTGAAACAGAGGTTGGCTGATAGAATTAGAGAAACTCTCTCTTTCAATATATAACATTTGATACGATCAATGATTTTGTAAAGAATCATCTTTCTAAGATTTGTTCAGACTATTGACATGATTCTTTGTTATTTTCCATCCTACAACTCTTTCCCACAGACAAAGCATTGCAAGGCTCTTGCTGTTCTATCGCTATTTCCATGGAGAGAGTTATGATGAACTACACTCCTTACTTCCACCAGTTCTAAACTTCATGGCTAAAACCTGTCAGGCCACACATATTGTAGCAAACCACCCTTGAGCAGCTTTTACCCATGAACCACTGCTTTGTGGAACCAACTCCGAAGAGGACAGTATGAACATCATTGTGTAAAAAAAAAAAAAAAAAAAGTGACTGATCCATTCTGCAGCCTTTAGGTGTACCAATCCATGAAGAAAAACACTTCTTTTTTTTTCTATAGCCAATCAGTATATTTGACTTCTTTTTGTTTGTCACTTTTTTCTGCGATCTCCCTCCCCTGAATGTACAATGGATCTATGAAGACATTATGTTAACAACAAAAGTAGTACAAAGACTGTCTTTTAGAATTACATTTTCTAATGTGAATGTTTAATCTTTGCTACAAGCTATCCAAAAAGGAAAGTATTTTAAATTTTAATGCACTATTTGTTTTTATTAAATAAAATCATTTGATTAAAATAATTACTTAAACTGTCAGGCCATATCGTGTTGAAACACCAGTTCCCGTATGATCATTGAGATTAAGCAACACCAAGCCTGGTCAGTACCTAGATGGGTGACAACTTAGAAATACCACGTGCTGTAAGCATGTGGTCTACCTGATAGTGGTTTGGAATTGTTAATTGGAGAGCTGAGTTCCAATTCCCATTGGGTTTGTTACATTTATTTATGTGCAAATACTCTTGCGAAACATATGGTATGAATCCACTTCTACTGAAAACAAAATATATAACAATCTAAACATATTCCCAGGCTTTAAATAACCTGCAAAGTGTTGATAAACTGTAGAAAATGAATCTATGAACCAAACCACACCAAACTGTCAGCACAAAATCTTTTAAAAACAAGTTGACATTTTTTTTTTTCTACAATAAATCTTTTATTTAAGATTTGTTTTGGAACAATGGTATTCATTAGTTGCTTGATTTAGTAGAAGACGGTAGTACATTTTTGGCAAAAGTTTATTTTACATTGAACAAATGAATCTGCCTATATATATATATATATATATATATATATATATATATTTCAAGCTTATGGGAGTAAAAGTCACTAATACCATACACTTGCTTACACCACATTGCATTGAAACACTGATTCTCATACAATCACTGAAGTTAAACAATGTCAAGCCACGTCAGTACTTAGATGGGTGACCACTTGGGAATACCAGCTGCTGGGATGTGCAGGTGGTGTAATGGATAATTGTTTAGAATTGTTGTTTCAATTCCCATTAAGTCCATTATATTCACTTATGTGCAAATAGTCTTGGGAAAGTTATGAATCCACCTTTTTTTCCCCCAGCTATGGGTTAATTAGTAAGACTTTTATCACTAAAATCATTATTGCCAAAAAAAAAAAAATAAAACTGCATACAAAATATGTAGATTTTGGCATTAAAGAACTAGAGGTTAAATAACCTATGCCGCTAAACAAAAACATCCAATCAACAACCATACCCTAGACTGTATGGTAGTTGATTAGACAAATTGGCTAACTTAAAATATAAAGGCAATTTTGTTTTATTTCTTAAACTACACCATTTTACTCCAAAATTTAAAAAAAAAATTTAAATTTAAAAAATTTCTAAATCTAATCATGGAATGATGGTACATTTTGAAGGCTACTACGAAACACCAGATGGCTGAAACCATGATGGCTTCACCACCAACAGGAGTTACTCAGAGTACAGATTATGCTACCTTGAAGAAGTAATCAATGAAGCAATATCTCCAGTTACCCCACTATTGGACATGAAAATGTACAGGGTGCAATGGATAAATTATCCTCTAAATTATGCAAAAATGAAAATAACACAGACCTCTCATTTTAAAAGATATATTTACCAAAATTATTCAAAAATATGTTGAAATACTATAGTAACTTTATTTAATAAAATCGCCATTGGCTTCAATCATGGCCTCCAGACAACTTTGGAATCTCCTGCAACTCTTCTAGACAGTTTCCTTGTTTATGTTGATGAATGCTTCCATAATCTTTGCCTTCAGTTCATCTTTGGTGTTACAAGGAGTTTTGTTGGTCTCTTACTCGAATGCATCCCACACAAAAATTGAGGGGGGGGGCTGCAGTTTAAGGAGTTAGGTGGTTAGAAGCAAGGGGTGATGTCCTCACAGAAATTGACAGCCATGACATGTTCTCCAGCTTGTGTGTCATGGTCCAAAGTCCTGTTGCTAAACATAGGGTCTTTCAGCAGCCACCTTCTTGACCAAGGACAGCACTACCTCCTCAAGGCACTTGATGTAGGCTTCCGCATTGAGCCTGAGGCCTTGTGGGAAGATGAATATAACATTGCCATCACTACTGATCACACCAGACACCTTCGTAATCACCATTAGACTCCTCCAACTCTTTCCGAATCCTCTGCACTCAAACACTCTGAAATGTTTGTATTGGAGCTTCTGGCATGAATGCCAAGCATGCCATTTCCAAATTTCTGGCAGAGTGAATTGCATCATGGTGCTCTTTTTATCACTGCCCAGCTGACCCTACTATACTGTGCAGTTGACAAAAACAAACAATGCACATGTGCAAAATTAAAAAATATAAAGTGGCAACAATTGCAACCTGTACAATTATGCACAGAAACATTTTGCCCTAGCCTTGGTACATCATCTCCAAATTGGAGACAATGTGTGTACTGGTTAATTTCTAATTATTCATCTGTGATTATATCGTTCATTCCTTAGGTTTTTTTTTTTTTTTGTTTTTTTTGTAGTTATAAATTTTACACAGCTTTTATCAATTTGTAAATGAGCTTTTTCTGTTTTATCCTCAAATTAAAAAAAAAAAATTGTCTTAAAGAATCTAAAAAATGATGATTGGCTTTGCAGTATTTAATTTTTTTTTTTTTTTTTCTTACATTTTCAGGTGAGTGGCTTTTCAAGTGGCAGCTAGAAATTTTGTCTTAAACTTCACCTTGGTTTGCTTCTATTAAATCGGGCTCAGGTGCACCAAGAATACATTTGAATCGTCTGACATTGTCTACAATACAGGACTTTGTGGATGAGAGTTAATACAGTTAACTACATCACCATGAATGTCTGATTCAAAAGCCTGAAATTGGTAAAACAGTTTCTGTTTATGAACCACTCAAAAGAAATCTTACTTGGAACTTTAATATGCCAACATTTGGTCTATTGTAACCGGTACCCACTTCAGTTTATTTATATTTATACTTAAGGATTCTTCCACCCTGGAGCTGGTTACAACACATTCATCCAGGTGTCTAATGTTGTAGCCTTTAACTTAAAAACCATTCAATGGTACAGGCACTTTATCAGGTGCTACACACATTAAAACGCAATCAAATTTCTGCTTGTGCACTAAGAAACATTTCAGTTTAGTTTCCACTACTGGAAATTATTTATTTTATTATGTTTCGATCAACATTGATTGCACACCACCTCCCCCATTGATACACAAAATACATATATATGTGTATATACACTTATTTACAGAGTAAACAATATATCTTTCATAGTAATAATTGCATTGCAGTGAATATACATTCATATATGCATATAAATAAATATATATGCACGTGAATGTTTTGGCAGTTGTAGTTAGCATCCATATTAGAGTCGCTTGAAACTTTCAATCATCATCTGCATCATTGCTCCTGCACCATCACTTTGCAAAAATATCTGGCATTATGAATCATATCATCACCTCAAACATTCCAAATTATGAACTTATGGAGGTCATTCCCACAATGGAAACCTCCCACAGCTGTGACATCTGTGGTAAGGGTTTCGCCAGGTTTGATGAACTCGAGAGGCACAAATTGAGCCATCAAGCAGTGAAGCCATTTAGCTGCGATGTCTGCGGAAAGTCTTTTGCACATAAGTCACACCTGAAGCAACACCAAACAATTCACACAGGTGAAAAACCTTTCAAGTGCAGCATTTGTGGATTCAGCTTTTCACGTAATGGTAACCTAACTCGACACATGAAGACACACGGGCAGGGCACTGTGACTACGATAACAACGACCCAGTACGAGAATGTCGCAAACCAAACGAGGGCTTACCCGATTGAAAAACCATTCAAGTGCAACATTTGTGGCTGTGCATTTGCTAGAAATGGAGACTTGACTCGACACTTTAAGACCCACGAGGAGTCACTGTACCCAGCCAACCAGAACCAGACCCAAAACACCACTACCACCACCTACCAGCCACGTCCAGCTCAGCCAGCCCCAGCCCAAACCCCTCAGCCTCAACCTGTACAACAGACTGTATCCGAGGAGAATCCATTCAACTGCAAAGCATGTTGGAAAGCCTTCACAGAACGTTCAGACCAGGATATGCACGAACGCATCCATGCGGCCCTTTTGCCATACAAGTGTGATGTGTGTGGCAAATCGTTCTCGGAGAACAGCTACCTTGAGCGGCACAAGAAAGCCCACTCCGAGAAGATGTTCAGTTGTGATGTTTGCGCCAAGACATTCTCACAGAAGTACCACCTGACAGTGCATAAACGAACTCACACCGGGGAGCGTCCGTTCAAGTGTAACATCTGTGGCTTTGCGTTCTCACGCAAGGACCATCTTGAGCGGCACCAGCGCACCAACAAGCTTGGAGATCGTAAACTGAGCTGCGTACCAATGAACAATGCGGCCACTGTTGAGAACCACCAAGCTACCCTGAGTGTGACTCCCCAGCAACCAGCAACAGAAATAACACAACAACATGCCGAGGTTCCTCACTACATAAACATATGAGTGGTGGTGGTGGGGTGGGGGGGTTATAACAAACAAAAAAATAGCAGGTTATTTTTTTTTTTTTTATCATTATTATTTTATTATTTGCTTGTCATTTTTTTTTTTTTTTTTTTTTTTTTCCAATTTTAAGAATTTTTACAAATTTGAATCTCCAGATTCAAGGCCAGCCTTTCATTAAATTCAAAGCGATTTTCAGGGGATACAGTAATCAATCTTAGAGTTAGTACCAAGTAAGAATCATCATGTGTATAAATTTTTTTTTTTTTCTTTATAATAATAAAATTTTACATGGCCTCAGACTTGTTTGAATGCTATGGTTTTAATTCTCAAGTTCTCAATTAATTCCTGGTGAAGTACATCTTCTAAACATTATAAGCTTGAAATATTTTCAAGCACTGTCATTTTGTTCACAGGCAATGAGCTAAGATCATATATTCAAGAGACATATTTTCAATGTATACACAAAAAATTTTAATTTACTGCCATTTTAATTGCTGACTTAAGTCTAAGGTCATGTAAACATATTAAAGTTTGTTTTTTCAATAGAAGTCTATTTACTGAGGTCTAAGGTTATGTAAAAAGTTGGTTGATTCTTAACCAAGAAGTGTTCTCAAATTTTATTTATAATAAAACTGTTTTACTACACTGCCCTATTAATGACTAAGATCTTGCTTAAAAAAAAAAAAAAAAAAAAATGACCAAATACTGTTTAAAATCTTGTAACTAAATAAAGATAAAATCATGGGGGAAAAAAAAAACTTCTGATATAATGACATAATTTTTTTTTTTTTTTTTTTTTCCATGTCCTATCATCTGAGTTCCCATACGATCACCAAAGTTAGGCAATGTCGAGCCTGGTCAGTACCTAAATAGTACTGCTATAAGTTTGGATGGGCGGACGGAGTAATGGATAACAGCTCGGAATTAGGAAACAGTCTAGTACCAATTTCGGTTAGGTTTGGTATGAATCCACCTTTTCTCCCACTAGCTATGGGTTAATTAGCAAAACTTGAATCACCGAATCATTATTATCTCAAAAAAAAAATATCTTACAATCTAAAAATATTTTCTCGCTTTAAATAACCTGCAAAGTGTTGAAAACGAATCGATCAACAATCCTATCATCTGAGATGCGAGTTGATTCCTTTATTGTATAAACCAGGCTTACACTAATTGATTATCAAACTACTAAGGAATTTCAAAGTTAAACTGTATCCCTAAATAACTCAGTGTTTACTTTCAGCTTTGATATTATTATTGTAATGAAGTGCCTGATCTGGCTATGTGAATTTTGAAGTATTTTTTTCTTTGATAATTTATCAGCATAAAACCAGAAACCAATTAAAATCAAACCCATCTTTTTAAAAACAACAAAACAAGAATTCTTACAGTAATATCACCTCTTACTTCTGACTAATTATTTTTCAATCTAGTAAATAAATGTGGTATAATGTTTCTCATGATGATTTGCCTCTAACAAGATTATTTGCATGATTACTTGGTTTAAATCAAGAAATAGAATTTAGTCTTCAAGTTTGTGATCTTAATCACCTCCTCTCTACATAAAGTTTATAGGATCTGTTTGACTTTAAGTTTCCAATTTGGAATTTACATCCTTATAATATCAAAAAAAAAAAAAAAAAATAGTCCAAAAAAGATATATGCCATTTCTAATATTTTAGCATATTTATATCTAAAAACTTAATGAATATTCTCATTTTAGTGTTACAGATTGACACCAAGTTAAGATTAGATGAAGATTTCAAGACATAATCTGTGTCTGCGTAGTTAACTATGACCTATTCATACTTGATCCTGGGATTTGTTTAGAAATTGTTTATCTTCCAGAATTTCCAAGCAGATATGGATCAAGATAATAAGTAATTGGCAGCCACTACTTGGGAAAGGTTATCGATTCTTCTTTCTGAGGCATTTCCGAAAGATACAGCCACTATTTCTCGTACTGTAGATAAGTATCAACAGATGAAAAAAGGAAATGAAATTCTTTTTACTTGCCTTTTCATTTTGGTTAAAATCTAGTATCTTTTCTCCTGTCATCAATGTGTAGAGCAGTGTTTCCCAATCTTTTTTTTCAACCAGCACCTCCTTTGGGGACAAACATTTTTGTTACCAATCTCCCCTCCCCAGTTAAATTTAATCTCACATATTATACAGAATTCATCTCTCATAGCAAGATAAGACTTAGTTATTAGTGCAAAAATAATTTTGTTTTCATTTCTATTACAAATGCCAATGATTAAAATGCTAAAAAAAAAAAAAATTTTATTTGATAGTTTATCTCGATTTTTTTTTTTTTTAAATTTGTGGGCAGTTTCATTGTTTAGTAAGAAGCTGTGTAACTGTGTTGAAACCACATTCAGCCATATTGGAAGTTAGAAAAGCAATGAAGAAAAGTTTGATAGCTTCCCACAGGTTTAGATACAGTCCAGAAATTTCATTTTGAAAACTAGAAAAAGTGGATAAATGTTACCGCTATCCAGAAATGAAATAAAAACTTCCAGTGCCCCCTTTCAACATAACAGCACCTACAATAGGTGTTAGCGCCCACGTTGGGAAACACTAGTATAGAATAACATCCATTGCCCTTTTTTTTTTTTCTTTTTCTTTTAAATCCATTGCTTAAAAAGCTATTAACGTACTGATATATAAGATTAGCAGAGACATCAGTTGAAAGTTTAGAATCAACAACGTTACAAGTAAGAAAAGTAAAGAAAGAAAAAAAACAAAAAAGAAGCTAACATAGTTTCATGTCAGATGCTAAGTCAGGTATTGCTGTATCATTTAAAGTCAATGATGATTTGAACATAAGCAAAGTGTTACGGGTTTACTGTCATTTAAAAACATTTTCTCTTTGTTTTCTTTTTGCTCTCTCTCTCTCACATCTGTAAATTCACTCACCATTTGTTTTGTGCATTTTTGAAGCTGCTATAATTTGGCTGTACACGAAATGTGAAAGAAAAATGAAATTATTTGGTTGGCTAATACAATTGTGATGTTTTCATTTCTTATTTCTATTTTTATGTTAACATCATCACTGGCACTGATGTAGTCTGTTTTATTACCTCGCTACTTGTTATATCCCCTCAAATCCCACATTACTCCCATGAAAAGAGAATAATTTTTAAGAATTCCTTGACTACAGATTCACAAGTCATTTAATATAGCTTCTTGTCAGTTTAACCTGTTCAACTTGTTCAAAGGTTGATGGCTGTCTTTTTCTTTTTCTTTTTTTTTTTTCGTTTTCATTTCTTAATTTTAAAATACATCATTTTCACTCTGTAATTCCCACAACGGAACTTTTTTCTTTTTTTTTTTTTTTTCACACATTGCATAACATCACTGGAACAACTGTGTTTATATTGTATATGAACAAAGAAGAATGTGCCTAAAATACAAATTTTGTCCCCTATTATTGTTAGGCTGAAAAAATCTTAACAATAATGAACGATTTCCAAAAAAGAACCAATTATAAAAATGCTGCAAATTGATTAGCTGACAAAATAATAAGAGCCAACCAAAATAATTCCCTCCCTCCCCCCCAAACAAACCCCCCATATCACTTTGTCAAGGTGATAATTTTGGCATACTTGCATGACAGGCTAATGCTTAATATGGTGGTAAATTTCATTATAATTATGGGACCTTCAGGTAGATATGACAGCATTTCAGTAGCCATGTGTGACTTCATCTGAAAACAATTGTCTTGTCTTCACTTGATACACTGATATGAAAATACTAGCATTAGTAAAATAAAGTTTTTTTTTTTTTTTTTTGTAATTATGGTAAAATTGTTTTAAATTAATATCCCTGCTGATCTGAAATAGCCAGCACCTGAAATATTCATTATTTTCAATGTTCATAACATTTGTTTGAGTGAAGCCTGTTTGAAATTCTGAAAACTATTGTCATCAGTATCTTTTTTTTTTTTTTTTTAATTAATGTTCTTGTAATTAACTTTAGATAATAATAATCAGGAGGGTCTCCAGCATTTTGTTAATTAATATTGGCCAGTTAATTTTTTTAGTGTTGACTTCTTCCATCTTTCAAGCACACAATAAACATAAAGGTATCTGATGTCACTAAGATGGAAAGATTACTGGATGCAGCAGTTTTATTTATTTTCTTTTTTGTTTTTTTTTTTAACAGAATGGAGGAAAAAATAGAGCTGAAGAAAACAGAGGATGTCATATGGGAGGGAGGGGCTGACGTAAGCAAATGCCTGCAAGAAAATAACGTCTTACAAAAGACGTTTATTCTCGAATTGCTTATCAACATTTTATGACATTGATTAAAATTTAAGATGAACTTGCTTAAGTGTTTTTTTAAGCACCAAAATCGAGAACAGATTTTGAAGTCCCAAGATTTCTTAGGAAATAGTTAGAATCTACTGATTTTTTTGATTTTTTTTTTTTAAACACTCCCACCAATAACCCCCCCAAAAAAAAAAAAAGGGCACCAAAGATTATATATTACTATAACTAAACCCGAGGGCCAAATGAATTTCTATTTATTACCTGATTTAGCCTGTTATGCAAGATATTTTTTGAGACTTTGCATTTCTTAGGTTTTGTCTGTAATGGACTTTTCCCAACAATTGTCTGTAATTTTGTGTGCATAGTTTACTTTTTTTGCAGGGTGGGGTAATTATTGTGCATATGTGTGTGGATGTGAGCGTGATTCTTTCTATTATGATTGTTTTTGTTTAATGATTGAAAAAAAAAAAAAATTGTCACATGAATACTTCAAATTTTATCCTTTTTTACGAATTCTATACCTAATTGAAAGAAAAAAAAAATTTTAAAAAGCGGGGGCCACATACTTGGACCTTAAAAAGTGGTGGAGGTATTCTGTGGCCACACATTACATTCTCTATGAGAAATTATCTTACACAAAAAGACAAGAAATCAGTATCACAAGTGTTAGTTTGACTGACAATGAAAGAAAAACATTTTACTACCAAAGACTTAATTTACTATTGA